TACCTCGCCTATATCTAAGAACTGGTTTAAACTGCCTTGTGGGCGTTGGCAGGTTTTTTTCCTGTTTTTGTTTTTTGTAAAATCAACTTTTTCTCCCTTGTTTTATTGTTTAAATTAGTGTTGTGAATTTGCTACAGTTTCTTCAATTCTTTTGTAGGAAAAGATAAGACATCAATTTTATTTATCTATCTATATAGAATTTTTTTTCAAAAGTATATCTCACAAGTCCAGAAAACCCAAACAAATGCAAACTGTTAGAAAAAGTAGGAAAGTATTGATGAAGATTCAGATGTTATTGTACACTTTCAGCCACAGAAATCTATGCAGAACTCAAAGGAAAACCTTGCAGATTACAATGTGAGAAAATAGAGGAAAGAAGGACAAAGGCAATCCATGATCTAGGCATATATTGGTTATTTGTAAGACCTATTTTCACTAAATCTACTGAAGAAGTCTTTTTGTAAAAAAAAAAATCAATTATTTCAAAGATAGTTACCGCATTTCACATTTGTGACTTTCAAAACAATTCAAACCAGAGGAAGATGTGGGCACTGAAAAAAGTGACTTACAACCAGTCTTCACACTTACAAGTGTTGCAGTGTCCCGATGGTTAGGTGATCAAAATTTGGGCACTTGGCAACTGACATGTATTTATGACAATTGTGATGCCCTGAAGTCACATGATCTTCAAAAAAGGACACAAAATCGTGCATGACTCACATAACAACTGCCTCACTTAGAAATGGAAGTTCTGATCCCAAGTGTGGCTGTATTTTGATGCATATCAATACATGAATGTCCCCTGGGTTCATGGGTCTTACCTCTAAGGAAGGAACTGGAGTTGCATTTTGCATTGCTCTTCTTTACCACAATATGAAGATATGTTAAATTTTAGGTGCCTTTCCACACATTGAGTGAATGATCTGCACTGAAATTTTTATATTGTTTTTTTACGTGATTTCACCTTAATTGATACATCTAATGTATACGTACACATGAAACATATTTTAATTTTGTAAAGTACAACCTCCTTTTAATGATAATCTATAAAATATTAAATAATGAAATAGAATTGGATGCAAACATAGTCACGTTTATAGTAGCCCCAGTGAAAGGAATGAAGTTCATCTTGATTATATGGATGCACTGATTTAAATGGTTTAATCATAAGCATTACTCAGTCTGAATACGATAAATAATAGCTTGATTTTCATATGAATAGGATAGCAACTAGAAATGGAAACTTCTTTCCTCTAGGAATAAAACCAAAATGGATTTGTGAAAGGAGATCTTAAGTGATATTCATTTTCCTGAAGCTAGATATATGACCATTCAAGATAGTCTCTTGTAAAGCTAGATAGCTAGACAGCTTTTATGTGGAAATTGCCTTTTGAATTGAAGGCAGTGGTGTTTTTTTAATCCACTGGTAAGCAAGCTTGTCTGTATGCTGATCATAGTAATTGACAGCATTCAGGGGACAAAAGGAATACTGGTTCCTGAACTTCTACTGTTATTCTTCCATCATAGCTAAAGAATGCATTTATGATATGCCAATAACGCTGGTGTTTTTTCTCAGTCAAGGGTATAACTATAAAGTTACACGCTGTCAAGCAGGCTAGTAAAACTTAAGCTACAAATGTTTACTTGGAACTAAGCTCTAAAGCATATGATACAGGAAATGTGTTTCCCACTGCCCATTTCGGTGGTATTATTTTCTCTGGTATAAGCATGCAGTGACTTAATCCAGACTGGGATCACTGAGGATCAGGAGACTAATGCTTCCCTCTGTTTTTTTTTTTTTTTAAATCAACCCACTTGGCAGAGACCTGGATTTTTAAAAACTTCAGTGGCACCAAAAACAAACACATAAACACACATATATTTGGGGTGTGTGGATGTGATTGTTTTCTTTAAAAGGCAAGACTGGAGGCAAATATTTTGCCTTTCCATATATATATATATCTTTTTTCTTTTCTAGATTGGGTCAGTGTTCATAAGACAGGAAATGCAAGCAGTAATTAGGACAACAAAGAATGAAAGTCCATATGATCACATTTAGTCCTAAATTCCAGTGATTTCAGAAGGGATTGTTCCCAATAAATGTCTATTCCATGATTCCCATACTTTCAACTACATTTTAGTTATATTTTAGACTCAGGAGATATATCTGCTAAAGTACTGTACATGCATAATGAAGTTAAAGTGTTAATCTGTCCCAGAGAAATAAGAGACTAGGGCTCTAGGAAGAATACTCTGCCTAATTCTGTAATCGTTGAGGAATTTATTTATTTATTTATTAGATTTTTATCTTGCCCTTATTACTTTATAAGTAACTTAATATGGTGAACATATACTATTAGCCTTCATCCTCCTATTTTCCCCACAACAACAATCTTGTCAGATGGATTGGGCTGAGAGAGTGTCTGGCCCAAAGTCACCAACTGGCTTTCATGATTCAGACAGGACTAGAATTCACAGTCTCCTGGTTTCTAGGCCAGCATCTTAACCATGACACACAGAATTCAGCAGCTGTAAAATCGGTCTCATGTTGCTAGGTGAATATAATGTAGCCTTGCTCACACTATGAATAAATAGAGTGGATTTGCAGTAATAATCAGCAGATTATTATGTCAGAATTGAACCTATGCATATACTAATCATCAGAATTACCATAAACATTTGGTGACTTCTAATAGAAACTTACAGGTATTTCTATAAACTTCTGTTCTAGGCATTGACGTCTATGCATCTTCAAGCTACCAAAGCTGAGAAACACTGGTTTATAGGATGCATTTCTATTTTGGCCATTATGCCCCATCTATTTCTACTTTACCCCCAGTATGTATTGTGTGTTCCATATATACACATACAACTAGTTCTCGACTTACAACCATTCGTTTAGTGACTGTTCAAAGTCACAGCACTGAAAAAAGTGTCTTCCAACCGGTTATCCCTCTTATGACCATCACAGTATCCCACGGTCATGTGATCAAAATTTGGGCACTTGGCAACTGGCCTGTATTTAGAATGGTAGCAGCGTCCCAGGGTCATGCGATTACCTTTTTTTTTTTTAAATTTGATTTATATGCCGCCCTTCTCCGAAGACTCAGGGCGGCTTACAATGTGCTCAGCAACCATTTGTGACCTTCCCAACCAGCTTTTGACATGACAAAGTCAATGAGGGAAGCCAGATTCGCTTAACAATACACGATTCGCTTAACATCTCTGGTGAAAAAAGGTCATAAAATCAAATACAATTCACTTAACAACCATCTTGCTAACCAATGGAATTCTGTGGTCCCAACTGTGGTCGTAAGTCGAGGACTATCTGTATGCCGAACACCTAGGAGAGAGAGCGCAAAAGAGTTTAAATGAAATGCTTACAAGTTCTCATTAAGAACAATACCACATTTCTTTCTTCTTCAGCATCACCAAATACTAATTATGGAGAATCATTTTTATTTTGACTAGGGAATAAAATGGACACATTCAAGGATGTCTCTTTACGCTGAGCTTTTGACTAATGGCAGCATGTTTCTATTTGCAAAGGGACTTCCTGAGTGCAAGGAAATGAGTGCTGGGAATGGCTTTATAAAGTTGATTTGTTTTGTACAGTGGACTAAAATCCTCACGGCTGCTCATCAGTGATTCATAAACGCTGACTGATAATTGGTCTGGCAATAGTATTTAGCAAGCCATGGCATGGCTTATGTTGTGAACTGGAAAGATGACAAATAAGTGACCTTTCGTAGGCTGTTACTGGTTGCTTTCTAGTGCGGTAACTCAAGGACAGAACACATGTTCTGCATGCACAACCCATGAGATCTCCAGAAGGCACTGAAATATTTCTGTTTAAAAGCCTGGAGAAGTTTTGTGAGTCAGAATCAGAAATAAAAGAGTCTTGCATTCTGGTTTGAGGTAAAGCTGCGGCCTGCATTTTAATGGTAAGGCTTGGCCTAGGGACTGTATGTTGGCAAAAGAAGAGATTTCTGTCAGTCTCAGAAGGAGCGCACACATGCATGAACACACACACACACACATCCCAAATTGCCACTTAGGTATCTCTCTTATAGTGACCAGCAGTCCTAATTAAGTTCATTGTAGCTATGAATATCGCTGCCATTCTAGCCATTTCTCCTATCTGCCTAAAAAGACAAGGAAACAAAGCGTGGTAAAAGAGCTTTTCATAAACCATCAAAAGTGGCATCAATTTAAACATTCTCATTTTGAAAAACGTGAGCCTATTTTATATTCTGCTCTTTTATTTTAATAAACCACCTCTGGTAGTTGTCATCTGTGCTGAACCGTGATAAGCTGCTTGACATGTTAATATTCACTCACAGCCACCCATATAGGATTCTGGGAAGATGTCCAGAACAGGGCATGTTTCTTATCTGATTTTTTTTGTGGGGAATTTGAGCTATGGGATAGGCCTGAGCAGGACGGACGGGTTCAAGGGCAGCTGCTTGAGCACATGGGGTGTTTCCATCAACCCTACGAATAGGGCAATGATGGCAAAACCTATGACATGTGTATCAAAAGTGACGTGTCATGGCGTTTTGGTGACACACCAGTGTTCATCAACATCCAACAACAACTATTCTCAAAGGCACACCCTATTCTCGCACAATGAGTTTTTTACTTTTTCTTTTGATAATTATCCAATGCTTCTTTATATATAGAATCACACGTGATTGGAATATATTTTTTTTTAAATAAATGAATATATAAAGAATTATTTCTCTTTTGTTTGGAGACAGGGCAGTGCCATACCAGCAGTGTCAAGTTAGGTACTTTCTGAATTTTTGCACACTGAGCCCACACTGAGACCATGACTGAATTAGCACTTGGGTACCCTTTAGTGTCTTCAGAGAAGAATTGTGAATCCCTCAGACGTACAAAACTTTTCCTCATAACAATTTGCAATAGCTCTCCATTTCTAGCTGATGACTGGCATTGGAAGGCTTGCATTTGCTGGAAGAACATAGTTGAGGGCTTACCTCATTGCTGGTTGACTCTCCCTATTTATGAGGCGGTATGTCCCAAGCATTTGGGTCAGTGTCTATTTATTCTTGCTTGTTGGTCAAGCTAGTGGACAGTTGACTTTCTCCTGGCAGAGAAAAAGGCCAATATTTTTTTAATCTGCACAGATTTTTTAAAAAAAAGCTAACTGAAGACCATGAGGTGAATTGTTTGAATGATAAATGGTTTTCATTATTTAGGTGGAATAGCTGTTACATCTTATCACATTATGTACATTTATTACAAGCCATTATCTTAACAAGCTTTTCTTTACTGGCAAGGTACAGTCTCCCGTCATATTTGGAGGATCCTGAGCTTGAGAAACGGGCCTAATTATGCAGACCCATTTCTGACAATTCCAAAATTCAGGAAGCAGCAAAATTGCATCTTTGCTGCAGATGGTGAGGCTGCAATCATGTACATTTATATTAAAATAACACATTGAACTCAGTCTGGCTTTCTCTCAAGGAGAGACAGAAATAGAGGCAGAGAGACAGAGACAGAGACAGAGAGAGATCAGGGCATTGTTAAGAATTAAAGGCCACGCACATTGGGTGATTTATTAATTTGGAATTTAATTCTCCAACCTCATACTTTCTCAACATCCTTTCTATTGTTAAAGACATTGAGTGCCCAATTAATTATTCTGCAATGAAGACTCCTTTGATATTTCTCTTCAGCCTTACTATCCTCCTTCAGTGTGCTTCTTCCATTCATATTGCCTCAAGTCACTTTGTTTCTCAGGCTTTGGCCTTTTGCTGACATTTTGTTTTTCTGCTGTTAACAACTGATTTTTTAGATCCATTCTTTGCTCCCTGTGACATCCCCTTTTATATGTTTTGCTGGAATCTTCAGCATTCCTTCTAATTTTCTTCAGCTGGATCTCTACATTTTAAAGGAATTTACATCTTTAATGTTTCATTGACTTTGTTATTTAACCATGCAAATATCCTCTTGGATTTGTTCATTTCCCCACATCCTGTAAAATTCATTTTATTCAGCCTAATTATTACATTTGTAAATAACTTCAGGACTGTGAAAGGTTTTGAACTTCACGACTCTCTCCTTACACCTATTTTAACAAATATTCTTATTTTTTCAAAAATTCCTTCCTCTTATATTAAATATTTGTTTGCACTTCAATTTCTTGGTGATTTTCCACTCAAGTTTTACTAAAAAAATTTTTTTTTAAAAAAAAAAAGTGGGTTGATATAAACCATATGCCAATGAAAATAAAAATAAATGTGACAAAAGTCAAAAATAAATAAGGAAAACTGAGGGAAGTAAATTTTGCTTGTTTGTTGCATACAATAATAAAGCTGAGCTTGCTTTTTATTCATTTTTAAGCACGATAATGGGCACTTCCACACCAGTACCACTTCTGCTCCCTAGAAGCTGTTTGGAAATGACTCACAATTATCTTCATATTTGCAAACCCATAAATGATGAAGACAGAAAGTGCTCTAAATTACTGATGATGATAATAATGGCATTGCCCTCTTCTCCATACATAGGAATAAGAAAGCAATCTGGTGCTTTGAACAGGCAAGGGGAAGGAAGAAACTGCCCAAATCTTGTTGTTAATTCTGCTTGCTTACCTGAGCAGGTAAATAGGAACTGCAAAGCTGTCAAGCCAAAATCTTCCTTCTAAAACTGGCAGGAAGGCTGAAATTCAGGAATCAGGCTAGAGGAGAGAGCCTTCCTGCCCCAGCAGGGATAATGGCCCACTCCCAAATTCCATTAAGCTCCAGCAAGCTTTATGTCCTGCTTTAAGGCTGAGCAGGCAACTGGCTCAGTTTACAAGTGGTTTATTGCCAAGTAATATTGCAGTCAATTATTAAGGCAGATAGAGATTTGGCTATGCTGTGTAGATGCGCAGACCCTCTGGAGGAATATAGGGAGTGTGCCTTGCTTGATAGCCAGACATGGCACACAGGGTTTAGTGTTCAGTCAATCTGTAGGATATAAACAGAGCACAAGTTCAGGGAAATAAGACACATTGCAAACACAGCCGCAATAATCCAAGAATCAAATGCCAAAGAACTTAGTCAGATGATCTTATTTGAAAACATGAGGATCAAGAAGCAGAGCAGGAAATAAGGAACCCAGATCTGCCAAGCAGTTTCCAATAGAAAGGTCATTGGCGGTGGTTCTTCTTAAACAGCTCAGATGCAGGTATGAATCAGTTCCAGTCTTTGGCATCTTTCCTTCTTGAGCAGCTGAGCAGATCACTTTTTCTCAACTCTTAGAAACTGCTGGGGCTTGATACCTGGCCAAGATTTGATTTCTCAACACCTGACTCCTCAGGTGCACATGTTCCTGCTGAGACTTGCAAGTCTGAAAGCACAATTCTTCCCCCCCCCCACACACACACTCCATTGTCTTTACTGCCCGAAAAACTAAGGAGGGCCTCTTCTGAGCCTCTTAATTCACCACTTTGCAACTGCAATCTACAGTGTCTATTATCTGACCATTTTGGGGCAGTGGTTAGAGTGCAGTACTGCAGCCTACGTCTTCTGACTGCCGGCTGCCTGAAATTTGGCAGATTGAATCTCACCAGGCTCAAGGTTGACTTAGCCTTCCATCCTTTCAAGGTGGATAAAATGAGGACCCAAATTGTTGGAGGCAATATGCTGACTCTGTAAACCGCTTAGAGAGGGCTGTAAAGCACTGTGAAGCGATATATAAATTTAAGGCAGCTGTGAAATCTGGCCGGATCTATCTAGCTTGTGCAAGCCGGTAGGGCCGGCGGCGGGAGGCTCCGCCCACCCACTGGGACATCATCACGTCCCATTTTGGACCCTCTGCACATGCGCAGAAGAGGCGCACACGCTCACATTTCCAATCCGGTAAGTGCATTTTACCCCTGGTTTAAGTGCTATTGCTATTTCCTTGGAGGCACCAAATGATCCATGTCATTAATCTAAGAACCTCCTTCCATTCATGGCAGTGAGAGACCCTGTTAGTGGGTAGTTATAAGACTAGCAGGGAAAAAAAAAGAGGAAAACAAAGCAGTTATTACAGCATTATATTTCCTGACCTGTCCTGACATTTGTTGTGACTAATTCAACAGGATATAAATGCCATTCCTTACATTGCATTATTCTAGTTGCAGTGCAGGTCAGTTTAACCCAAATTGCCTCTATAAATATCTCAAGGTGAAATAAACTCAGAGTGAATCAGGACTAGCATTAAAAAGACAGGGTGAACTCTTTAGTGGCTCTCCTCTTTTATAAGGAATCATTTTAGAGCCAAGGAAAACTTTGCCAGCTTAGTTGCTTCCCCAATTCAACCAGTCCATGATGTTTATTTCCAGGAATGCCCTACTGGAAAGTTTCATTGCATGGCAGTATTTCAGCCCATAGAATAGAGCAAATGTTGGTGTGAAATACTGTTTATGGCTTCTGCCAGTACTTCAAAGTACACCAGTCAGGAGCATAAAGCCATAAAATAAAGATGTATGCTTTAATTTCCAGCAGGGATCTTGGTAGTCTATAAAATTGAAATACTCCACCATTATTGGAGTTTGCTTTACATCATTATTGTGTCCCCCAAATCCTTCCTGTGAAGTCTGAAAGGCATGCTAATTTTTAAAAATAGGGCAGGGGAGTGAAAAGTGCCACAATGAAAAATGCCAAAATGATAGATGGTAGATGTTTTATTTGCCTGGAAGTAGGCTCCTGGGTAGGAAATGGCCATGTTTTTTGTAAAGGGAGTATTAGGAGTCGAAGAATTTATCTTGCCGTGCCAAAGGACAACATTTTAAGCCCTACATAGACTTCTCCATTAGAGATGATGTAAGCAGTTAAGAGGTAGATGTAACAAGAGGCAAGTTCTAGCCCACTTTTAGTCACTGAAGCCCTCTGGATGACTTTGGGCCACTCACTTTTTGTTGCCATTCAACCTACTTCACTAGGCAGTTGTTGTAGAGAAAATAGGAGGCAGGAGTTCTATGTTTGTTGCCTTGAATTCTGAATGAAATTTTTGAAAATTATGTGCATTCATTAGGTTAAGGAGAACTTTTTACTGGGGTTATAGTTCCCCCAACCTCACCATGTAACTGCTGGCCCTCATTCATAGAATCATAGGGCTCCTTGGAGGTTTTCTAGTCCAACCCCTTCAAGGCAGGAGATCTTATACTATCTCAGACAAATGGCTGTCCTCCAATCTATTCTTGAAAACTTTCAGTTGTGGAGCACCCACAGCTCCAGGAGGGAAGCAGTTCCATTGATAGTTTGTTCTCACTGTCAGGAAATTTCTCCTTAGTTCTAGGTTGGATCTCTCTAACTAGCTTCAACCCATTGCTTCTTGTCCTGCCCTCAGATACTTTGGAGAATAATTATGATAACAATGATAACAGTGCTACATAAATGTTTATCTACTCCTATTCTGTCTATACCACCAATGATGGATGGTATGTTGTTGTGGTGCAGGCTTAAGGCAGAGGTGAAATCCGGCCTGATCTATCCGGCTCACACGAACCGGTAGGGCCAGAGGCGGGAGGCTCTGTCCACCCACCGGGATGTCATTACATCCTGTGCATGCGCAGAAGAGGCACGTGCTTGCTATGCTCGCACGCGCGCTCACGTTTCTGAACCAGTAGCGAAGGTAAATGCATTTCACCACTGGCTTAAGGTCTCAATGAAGCTAAACGATATTGGAAGATCATATATATTTAAGCAGGGTCTCTCAAACAGGTGCTGAGAATTGAACCAAGAACATCTCAATTACCCATTCTGTATGCTGAAACCCAGAAAGGAAGTTTCCATACCCAATCAGTTGTCACCAAGTCAACAAGAGCTATATTTAATGCTATAATTTTGGGATATCAAGTGACATGTGGGCTATACCACTTGATTTTCTTTGCTAGGGACTACAAGACAAGGGAGTACAAAGCTTTTGGAAGCAAAAATGTGGACTCTCAGTGAAAATTAAGAAATCACAAAGTGCTATTATAAGTCATATTTCTTAATGCATGAAATTTAGAAAATAAAATTTATGGAACCAAATATCACCGAACAGCAATTTATAGACCACAGATGTTTCATGTACAGAAAAAGTCTCGGCAGGCATTGAATGAATTGCAACAACAGTTAAAAAATAATGAAAACAGATTTGAAACTAAAAAAGAAAATGTGCTACAAAAGCAGTAGAAGAACAAGTTAACATAAACAACTGTTTGGAACAAGTTAGCATAAACATCTATTTGGGTGCTGCCAGGGAACATACTGAACAGTTAATTCAAAATAATGAAGTAGAACTACAATTGTCTGAATACCAAAAAGTTAGAGAAAAGGGGTTAGATTGCATTAAAGAAATTGCATGACAAAGATTACCTCCTTGGAAATTACTCAGAGAAATATGTAAATGATATTTTGCATGATGTATGTATGATTGCTCAATCAATTATGGTAAAAACAACAAAGCAGACTAATCAGCTTATATACAGCCTGATAAATGTAACAACAATAGAACCGGGTTATCACTTGAAACTAATTCACCAAACCCAAAATCAGTTTTGAAAATAAATTAGGAAACATCTATATAATTTGGATTGACCACATAATTGAATTAAAAATGTTTGGAAATTTGGGGAATTAATAGAAAATTGTAACAGAAAAAGATGAAAAACAACGCTGTCTGCAAACACATAAGAGCCTGGAAAAATCAAAATGAAAAGAATATTTTTTTCAAGGAGACTTTTTACTCTGACCACTATTTTTTTTTAATGTGGTTCTGATTCCATGGATGATAATTTTGAATAAAATGTCATTTGGCAATGAATTATCCAAACAATGGACAACAGTTTCACTTTTGCTCTACATGGGTAATTTGAAACTATAGGCAGAATCATCTAGAAAAGTACAATTGCTTTTTTGATATAATTCAAATCTTTAGTGATGCATTAAAATGGAATTTGGATTAGATAAGTGTGTAGTGCTGGCAATAAAAATGAAAAAATTGAATACTTAGGTGGAATTCAACTACACTAAAATCCAAACATTAACAATGGAGCAAATGGGGAACTGTAGAAGCAAACTCTATATTGCGTGCCTAAGTGAAAAAAGCAAACCAACTGCAAATATGTAAAAGTTTTAAAATTGAAGATGACTGGCAGTAATACAGTCAAAGCCATTAATACTTGGGTTGTCCCAATAATATGCTACACAGCAGGTATTGCTGACTGGGCACAAGCTGAGCTAGATGCTTTAGATTGCAAGAGTAAAAAAAATGTATGAAAACACATCATGAACACTCCATAAAATGGCAGGGAACATTTATATTTACCATGGATGGTTTGTGGACATACTTTGTTGCTAGTGAAGCAGACATTGAGGATGAAATCAGAGGACTAAATGATTACCTAAAAGCAAGGAAAGAGATGATGTTAATAAATGTCTGTAAGGAGAACATTTTGAGTGTGACAAAATCAAGGGTGGCATACAAAACTGAACAGTTATCAGCATTGAATGAAAATTGAGAAGATTAATTTCTACATGGTCAATATCTGAAAAAAAAAATAAAGGCAAGGTGAATAGTAATAGAATTTGGGAATGGTTTCAGATTGAACCCATCAAGAAAGAAATAGAAGGATGACTATTAAGAGCACAAGAGGAAAAAAGCAGAAACAAATGTGATTAAAATAAAATTTAAAAACCTGAAAACGATAGCAAATGCAAAGAGAAAGTAATGACAGCTAAACATCTAATAAGCAGCTATAGC